ACCGGGCCGGCCCGTAAAGTACTCTCTAAAGTAATTATTTGCTTCTTTTAAATTTCTATTTAGACCTGTACACATCACCCTTACTAATAAAGTATTTTGTACATATGAATTGTTTGGAATAATCCTATTCCAAATCCTAATCTTATCTGAACAGCATTAATGATCAGATCATACTACATTAGTCCACCCTTATCTATGGTTTTGCTTTCTGTAGTTTCAGTTACCTGTGGTCAACCGTGGTTCAAAACTATTACATGGAAAATCCCAGAAATAAACAATTCGTAAGTTTTAAATTGGGCACTGTTCTAAGTAGTGTGATGAAATCTCACGTCGTCCTGCTCTGTCCTGCGCCGAAACATCAATCATCCATTTGTCTAGAGTGTCCATGCCGTATATGCCACCCACTCCTAAGTCACTTACTAGCCAGCTTGGTTATCAGATTGACTGCTCTGATATCGCAGTGCTTATTTTCATGTAATACTTATTTTACTTCATAATGGCCCCAAAGCGCAATAGTAGTGATGCTGGCAATTCAGATATACCAAACAGAAGTCGTAAAGAGCTTCTTTTAAGTGAAAAGGTGGAAGTTCTCCATTTTATATTGTATGTTGAGGTGGCTAAGATCTACGGTAAGAACCAATCTGTTACCTGTAAAATTGCAAAGAAGAGAAAAGAAATTCATGCTAGTTTTGCTATTGTACCTCAAACTACAAAAGTTATAGCACAGTACTTAGTTAAGATGGAAAAGGCATTAAATGTGTGGGTGGAAGATGTGGACAGAAATGTGTTCTGGCTGACAGCAATCAGGTTCAGCAATCAAACTATATGAAGTTTAGGCATCTACTTGGGGGTCTTTGAAGGTATCCCTTTGGACAAGGGGGGACAACTGTACTACTGGTTAGTGAAATAAAACAAAATAAGATGGTAAAGTTCTAACTAATTGTAATAATCATTTTCCAAAGCAAGAAAAGGTACTTCAAAAAATTCATAGGAAAAATTGAGTTAAGAGGTAATATGATTCCTATGAACTTTTAAAGATTCCTCATATATAACACACAGAGGTGCTCTAGCAGAAATTCAAATAAGCACCCTTTCACCATTAGTCTCAATTTTTGTTGAAAGGATGAAAAATGGGAAAAAAATTACAGGACTGCAGTTTTTCAGTCTTAAGAACATACATAACACTGAAAGCACATGGTCACATCATTTCTTCGCTACAATACAACTCTTTCATTTCCAAGACCCACTGAGTGACTGAGACAGATTCAGATAGAGCATGAATGAAACATTATGAAGCTGGGCAGCCATTCTGAGGCTTTCTGTGGAATCATGAAGTAGAAACACAGGCATATGACTAGGGGGTTTAGTACAAATTGATGCATAGTACAAGCAAATTAAGGATTTTTAATTCTCCAACAGCAAACAAGAGTTTGAGAGGAAGCAGAAAGGGAAGGCAGAGAACTGCTTAATCAAGCTGAAGAAAATAGTAACGTTTCATAGTATGAAGTTTAGAATCAGTTGTAATGCTTTCTACATTTAAGTTACACTTAGCTATAGAAAAATTATTAACGATTTGGCATTTCTATGGTATTTCCTTCCTATGGCAGGCTTTATAAAAAGACTATTACTTATTGAAATGAAGAAAAAAACTTAAAAGAAAGTGTTTTGAATCAAAATCCAAATGAGTTTCCCTGGAAACAAAGAGCAAGCAAAATATTGCTTAGTAAATTTCAAAATGTTTTTTAAGATATTGGTAAATTTATCCTTACAAATATATTCCCAAAAGTGGACAGATGTTAGAGATCTTTTTGCTGATGGAAAAATTGAGGCTCAGTGTCCAAATGCCTTGTGCAAAACACAGGAATAAAGAAGATGATCATTTTTCTTGTCATAAAGGTGTTACAACAGAGATTACTAGGTCTTATCCAAAAATCCACTCTCCTTCCTATAGTAACAGAACCCCAGGTAATACAGTATATGTACCATTCTTCCTTGCTAACACAAGTGACCATGTGACTATGTCCCAGCCATTGCAAAGCAAGCAGAATTGAAATGCTGAATGGGACTTTTGGGAAGTCTTTTTAAAGGGAGGGAATGTATTATTCTTGTCTCTTCTTTCTAGGCTGAAAAGCTGATGTAGTGTCTGGATCTTCAACAACCATCTTGACCAAGAGGTAGAAGCTAGTGGCTGAGGAATGATAGAGCAGTAAGAAAGGAGCCTAAAGCCACCACATTGGCCCTGAACTGCCTCCCTCTGGCCTTCTTTTACATGAGAGAAGAACACACTATTTTATTTAAACCACTGTAATTTTTTTGGGGGGGTGGGGGGTACAGGCAGCTGAACCTAATCCTAATCCTGTCTGAACCAGCATTATTTATCAGACCGTACTTCTACTAGGGAATAACATTTAACAAAGTAAGATGGCAATTGTAATAATGCAGTTTTCGCACACAAACTATGTAATGAACAATGCTTTCATTGCACACTGACAACAAATGCTCAGTAAATATCAATGTTGAAGAAAAAAAAGTTTTAAAGGTTTTCTATAATGAATTAGTGTGTCCCAAGGTGGTGTAATTTTGCACAAGTTAGCAACAAGGGCAAACAAAAAGTTAATATTTATAAAAATATGGCTCTAAATTTGGTGCTGAACAAAGTTAAAGAAATATGCCTGTTTCCTAAAAAGTATCATTTTTTGAAAGACAACATGGGGTACACACAAAGTAACATACAAATCTACATATAAGTATGTAAACATTGTTTTGACACACACAACCAAGTATTTCTATTGCAGTGTTTGTGAATGCATTTTTTTGGTAATGAAACTGCAGTCATGAATAGGCAATACTTGGTAAGCTACAACATAATAGAAGGAAAAGGTATTAACATTATGATTTTCTGTGGTCAAATCAGCTTTAGTTTCTTATGCAGTTCAGAATTTTATGTTATTCAGTCTGAACACTGGCACAGGACAATATTTTACTTATCCTAACACTGGAAGAGAAAGGCTATTTTACGTGGGAATAATGGCTTTTTAACAGTGTTCGATTAGGAGACGTTAGGAACCTTACCTCGAAAGCCATTAACAAATATATCTAGAAGATTTTATGCTACATCATAAAATAATCAGCCACTGAAGACATCCTAAACTGCTTAGAATGCCAATAAGCTGCTTTCAGGAGCCAGCAAGGAGTATCACAGAAACTTAAGGATAAAAGGTTGAAGGATATTGGCATTCACAGGAGATTGTGCTGGAAATTCCTACGACCAAAAAATTTAAACTTGCACTTTACTTTGGAGTGAACTTTCTATTTCCAAAGAAAGCTTAACTTTTAGTTTCTAATTAGCCCTGGCAATATAGGGTCTAATGGCTTTTCCTAAAATTGTCACACTATTAATTCGAACTTGAAATCAATCCCCATTTCTCTTCCCCCCAAAGCAGGGTATCTTATAATAAGTAACATAAGCTTATCTGAATGGGTGATTTAGAGGTTTAAGTCATTCTTTTTGTAATCAGTCCTGGAATTAAGTCTAGTCATCTGTCTCAGTGTCTCTCTGTCTGTCTGTCTCTCTCTCTTTTGGCCAGAAATAATAAAATAATAGAAACTCCAAATATATTAGAAAATGATCTGTAAGTCTGAGCCTTATGTATTATTACAACATGGCAATAAAGAGAAAAGCTGAAGATAACCATGCATTGTTCTTGTCCTGTTTTATTCAAATCCTGATAATTTAAAATAAAGAATACTAACATTCACTGATGAGATTAATCAACCAATTACACCATTCCTGGAATACAGTAGGTACTTAATAAGTGACAGCTCTTATTACTTCCTTCTTGAAGCATTTTATTCTCATCTTAACATTTCTTGTTTTGAGTTTCTAAAATCCACAAAAATCACAAAACTAAACGATAAGAGGGATGGCCCAACATTATCTAGTCCGTTATTCTTTTCTAAAATACTGACCTTAAAAATCCCTAAAACTACAATTTCAGTAATTTTATCTACCATCTTTATCCTTGTAAGAAAAAATAGAATCACTTGTCATTACTAAAGAGGATTGCTAAGAAATTTCTATTTGCAAGTTTCTCTAATAAAGAAGCTCTCAAACTGCAGTCCATAGATCACTATCTGCATCAGGACCACTGAGGCTTGTAAAATGCACACTCCAAGACTTCCTGAATCAGAATCGCTGCCGTGAGGCCCAGGAACCTGCATTTTTATGACAAGCACCACTGCCTTAAACTCAAATTCTTCAAACTGCAAACTTGTTCCTCCCTGTACATTCCTTGAAGTAAATGGGAAACACTGAGTCTCTGGACTGCTTTCTTCAAGATTATAAAGCTATCTTTTTGTCTCTCTACGTTAAGTAAACTACCTGCAGTTCTTCAACTGTCCTCCTTTGATTTCTCTTTCACCTTTTTCTTTTTTTGACACCAGCGGACTATTTCTTCCCAAACTTTCCCCAACCTCTCAAAAATTGACATTGGTAATACAACACATGCAAACCAACCAGCAATGACCTTATGGAAAGATTAGTTCATGGAATCAGTACTTTACCCTGTGTTCCTGTTACGGGTCCCTGTTATGGGGTAACTGTAAAACAAATGCTTCTGGACATGATTTATTTCCTGAGGATAAATCCTCCATACCTGTTTCAGGCACTGTGTTTTGGAACTCTTCCCAACTCGTCCCACTGAAATTCCATCTCCCAATTTACTATGTAATGTTAAAAATCAATTTTTTGCCCACAAGTACGGCTGCCATCAAATGTCGACCATGAATTTACATAAATATGCTTACCATGCCCTAAATTCAAGGCACTGGTAAATAAAAATCCAGAAAATATCACTGCTGAGTTGAGAGCACAGTATTCTCTTGGAAGCAATTACTCATATACAGATGCAGGAAGCATTTAAGGGCGTACCTTTCTGGAAAAGTAATGCTTTGGCGCTCATGTACAATGCTTATGCCAGCTCACAGTCAGCACTTCATACCTGCCCAACCAGTGTAACCAGTGCCATCTCGAGGGTCTGCTGACTTTAGACCTCTCTCCATTTGCTGAAGAAGCTCCCGAATCTTATTGGTCAAGCGTTGTGAGAACTCAGGAGTCAGCTGTAGATATTAAGAAAAAAAAAATATAAAAAATATGGACCACTTCACTTACTAGATTACAGGCTACGAAAGATAAGAAAGTATTTCATTTCCACACAGACCACATTTTTCTGCCTGGACAGACATTTATCTAGTCTTAAACAACAACAGCATATTAAGAAAAGTTAAAAGTAGTACAGGTTTAGCAACCCAAATCTGAAAATCTGAAATCCAAAATGCTTCAAAACCTGAAATATTTTGAGGGCTGACATGACCCTCAAAGAAAAGCTCACTGGAGCATTCAGGATTTCAGATTTTTGTATTTGCAAAGTTCAACACATAAGTATAATGCAAATATTCCAAAATTCAAAAAAATTCCAAATCCAAAACAGTCTGGTCCCTATCATTTTGGATACAGGACATTCAACCTGTATTACGTTTTTCTACTCAAGGCAAGAAATACTACCGTAGCTTAAATGTTTTACATAAAATTTTTATATAATATTAAATAGTTAAAATTTTTAGTTAGTATTAGTTAAAATTTTTAGTTAAATATTAAAATAGACTGCCAATGATAAACTGACTAACAGTAATTTTATACCTAATGGGGATCATTTATTATTTAAACCGATATTTTTATTATAATAAAAAGTCATTTTATTAAATCAAGCACAAATCAGAAGTTTGCTGTTTTCAAGCCACTGGATTTTTAGTATTCAAGTAGCAGCAATGTTAATCTCCTAAAGAAACATTCTAGTTATTTTCGTTATTTTTGAAAAAATGAACAAACATTTTTTAAAAATTGAAGAAATAGCATAAGAAAAGCAAAACAAATTCACATACACTAGGATCCTCAGCAGAGTGGAAAGAATGTCAAATCTAGCATTAAAAATCCATGCCCAGCAGAATGTCTGGCAGAGAGTAGGGGGCTTCATAAATATTGCTCAATCTTTGAGGCTGGCTACATCCTTACCCACTATTAGCTGAGTGATCTTGCTCAACTCGTAGTTTCTTTATGTTTAAATTACCTCCATAAAGTCAAGATAATAATACCTGCCCAACCAATTTCAAAAGGTACTTTGAGGATTAAATGTGTGTCACAGGTCTTTCTCATTCAGAGCTGTAAATGCTGACATTTTTACTATTCTTTAGCAGCCCAAGAGTCTGAGAAGTAATTATTTGGATATGAATTGAAAGTAGATGAAGGTTGGGGCTCTGGGATTAGTAACATTTCTATGAAAGCTCACAAATGCTGGGCAAACTCTGAGGACCACACAATCATTGTGCTATTCTTCCTAAAGGCAATTCAAAAATATTTTTAAAGTTCTGTATACAGTGTATCATTAAATGTCTTAAAAGATACCTTAATGTATCCCTCAATAATTTGGGGAACCTGCTATGATTCCCAGACTTGGATTTCACAAAGCAGAAAAATTTCAAAGCAATGTGGGAGAACATTATAAGGGTGCAAATATTTTATTTCACCATGTAAGGATTGTAGAAACATATCTAACCACTACCTGTCGGCATCAGAATCTTATTTTTTAAAAGGGGCATCTTAACACTGAAAAAACTAAGAAGGCTGTATCACAATAATAACAACAATAACAATAATTTTAAAAGACATTAAGATTCACTTCTGATGAGCATCCTGATAAGGCAAATCAGACTCTCAACCATATATGGACTATTAATTCTGAAGCACCACTATGATCCCTATTTCACATGACGAAGAAACCACATTTTTTGACAGACACACCCCTGTTATTTAACAATTTCTGCCAAGAGGTTAAGATTTTAACAAAACTTGAAAATACATTTAGGAAGATAAAATATACTTCAATATTAATATAAAAAGTCTATAAATCTCAACTAGATAGAAGATGTATCAACATAAGAACATGTCATCTTCTGTATACAGATCATGTAAAATTTATCATCTTGCCTGGCCTTACTTCAAGAGACGAAGAATAATGGGAACACCGCAGCCTTGCAAAAGGAAGTTACTTTCTATTTAGCACATACTGCATTAAAAAAGGTAACCTGCACAAGAACACAGATTGCTTGTGGCACGCCAACAAATTATTCAAACTCTAGCAATAATGTGAGAAGTCTCTAAAAACCCTTTTTTTCTCTGACAGATGCCAGAAAACAAAACAGTTCCTTACTGAAATCTTTGTGTTAGCAAATTAAGGACAGATCTGATCCTTTGTGTTCAACCATAAACAATTTTAGAAATGGTATGCTAGTTTTTTTCTAAGATCTGTCCAAAAATTATGTTAGGCAACGGATTATTATTTTGAGTCAGAGTTTAAATTTATGAATGTCTTTTTTTCTCTCTTGTAGTTAAATTCGTAAAAAGCATTTGATTTATAAGCAGCCTAAATGGTGAGCTACATTTTATTGAAGGCTTCTATCAGGACACATCCTCAAGTGTCCTCTTTGCCAAGTTAGCATGAAGCAGCATATCCTCCTCCAACAAGACAAGACATATACTTCAACGTCAGGATCCTGCAGAGATAGGCGGAATGCAGGCCCACATGGCCAAAGGGAAGCCATCTATAAAAAGCTTTGTTTGGGCAACCCAATATTGGTCTTAAAATAATCAGACTGACCCTAACTCTTGAACATTTTGGCAACCTTCTACCTTATGCCTCTTCTCCACCTCTTTCATTCCTCCTACCCGCATTACTGACCCAAGTTAATCTGTAATGCCAAATGTTTTAAGGGAATTACCAACACAGCCACATAAAATTAATTTGACAGATATGAAATCTTTAAGGACATTATATCACACGTGAAATACTTTCTGGATGCCTGACAGGTTTTGAAGAAATAAACTGGTTTAAAATAAATAAATAAATGTGTGCACTCTTCTACCCTAATTCTTAGGATTTCTCAAAACTAGGTATATAAAGAACTGTACTCCCTCTTAACAATTATGTTCACCCACAGAGGCATGAGAAGACACAGGCCCTGGTATATCAAATCCAGGTTCTCTTTTGCAAGTGGCTTGTGATATGCTAACCAGTTAAATTTACTAGTTTTTTTTTTTCTTTTTCCCCCTCCTTCTGTTGTGGGGATGTCCTGCAAATAAAATCAATAGTACACTGAATCTCAGGCTTCCTATGTCCCAAAATTCTCTTAGCATTTAAAGGTGTCCTTACCACACATCCCATCTACTCTCATCATTACCCTGCTCCTATTTGTGTAGTCATAAAGGAATAACATGGCACATGTGAATACCGTTAGTATTTCTCACCTCTCTTTCAGAAGAGAACCAAAATAGATCAAAAATGCAAATTACATGGTAAACTGCAGACCCACTAATTTTTACATTTTATATTACCAGTGATTAAAATTACTTCTTAAATTATTAATTAATAACATTAACAATGACTCCTTATAGACATTCAACACTCTCCTAGAGCTCAAGTTGTATATTTTAAAATATATTTTATATATTAATCCTCCAATCATATATTTTATTTAAAAAGGGGATGCTCATCCTTTTCTTTCAGGCAAAACTGAGTTCCTTTCTGAACACGGTGGGGGTAGGGAGAGATGCAGGCAGATATAACCCAAACTCACCCTCCCGGCTGAATCAAAGTAGCCTTCGGCCAGGGATTTGTTATAATCGGCATAAGGATTCGGGAAGGCCCTTTGAGCCATGGCGCCGGAAGCGAGCCTGCAGAACAGGGGGAAAAGAGAACCTAGGCTGAGATGGGGGCACGACCTGGCTGCCAGGGCGGCGGCCAGAGCTCAGATAACCTGTTTCATCCAGCTCCGGGGCCACCGAGCGGTCTCGGCCCTCCAAGTACAGCCCGGGCCCACTGAGGCCCAGCCGCTAGGTCGGGGCACCTTCGCAGAAAGCCTGCCAGGGCCCCGAACCCACCCCGATGAAGGGGACCCGTTCTGCAACCCCACGTTCCCAAGCGCGCGACGTGAAGCAACGACGACTCCTACGTTCCGCAGCCCTGCCCGGCCTCTCACCCCGCAGCCTCGGACAACAACAGAAGCGGCCTTCTCACCGCCCACTTCCTGCCAGTAGGACCAATCAGAGCCTTCGCTGCTCCGACGGCCCGCCCCCTTCTCTCTCTGAGTTTGTTAAAGAGACAGGAGAGTGATTTCTAAAGGAAACTGCAGGATGAGTTCGTTCCTGGGCAGCAGGAGCGAGGACACGTTTTAGAATAACCGGCAGGTGTGCCCCCAATTTCCTACCTTTCTTTTTCTCTTTTTTGTATAAGAAAACAAATTTAAGATCAGATGATTTATAAGAATTAAAAAATCTTTTATCTAGAGGAGAAAAAACACCGCTTTGAGATCTGAACATATTCGTTTTCCTAGTGCTTGGACTAAATAAAATTGGGGAGGATAATGTCTCTTCAAAGATCTTCCAAACGTTTCCTTTCATTTTTTTAAAACAAAAAGAAACAAAAACCACCACCGTCAGCATCCTCAACAACAACAAAAAAGCCAGGATATATTGAAGAGAGGGATAACATGTCTTTGGGGGATAATTATACTCAGTCACTCAAAAGGCGATGTTAATGCCCAAAGGACAAAATATCAAAAAGCAATTGATAAAACCGCTGGGAAGAAACATAAAACACAAATAACAGCTCTTAAGAAATTTAATTTGCTCCCTAGTCAAAATTGGAATATAATACTGAATACTGAGCCCTTTGAAAACATAATGAAGACCCACACAGCAGGAGATCCACAACACTCAATTTCAATGTTTAACAGTCTCCACCATCTAAAAAATGTTCCTTTCATTTACCTGGTACACATTAGGCCCATTCTGTTGCTCAGAGAATTCTGGAGTTCGGTTAAAAAGTCAGTTACTGTCTCCTTTTCCTTCCCTCTTGTTTCAGTGAGGGATCCCAGCCCCAGACCTCCAGTTGCTGAAGTTCAGTCCCCACCCCACTCACTCCCACCTTTCCCCAAGTTTGTCCCTCAGTGGTCGCCATCCCAAACTCTCTTTCTGATCCCACCCCAGCCCCTTCAGTTTGTTCTTTTTAAACTATTGCACTCCCAGGAAACTTGTTACCTGCTTTCTTTCTTTCACCAAATTCAAGATTAGTAGAGTCCTTTAGTGAATCTCAAATGGGATAATTTTCATATTTTAAAAGATGGGTGTTTGGAGGAGCAACTCATGAGTGAGAAAGGAAAAGGAGTGAGAGGTATTTTATCAATTAATTTTTCTTTAAAGCCTACTATCAGTTTATCCCACGCACAGTCTTTATATAAGCAATTAAAACCTGTGTGGTATTTAAGTAAATTAATGACTCCTAGAGGGAACAAGGCATCATAACAGAACGTCTAACATAAGCAGACTGTGCTTGAGCAGAAATGCAAGAGGAGTGGGAGATGAAGATGGAAGGAGCGTAAGGAAGGAGGGAGAGAGGGAGGAAAGGAGCTCTTGTTCTGCTTGAAAGGTTGCCTCGTAAAGACTAAAGAAGTAACCACTACGTGGATAATGGAATGAGATAGTATAGGGATTCTCAGCCTCAGCTCCATGAACATTTTGGAAGAAATACTTCTTTGTTGTGGGAACTGTCCTTTTCACTGTAGTCTGTTTAGCAGCATCCCTGGCCCATATCCACTAGATACCAGTAGCAACCCCCACACTCTCAAGTGGTGACAACCAGAAATGCTTCCAGATATTGCCAAATGTCCCCTGGGGGTGAAGGTGGGGCAACATAGTCTCTGGTTGTGAACCACTGAGATAGTGTAACCAAAAAAGTTTAATAAGATCGGATGATTTTACTCCAGTGTCTCCACTGCAGGTATAGATTGCTAGAATAATGTGTTGAAAGGAATTCAGGAGGAACTTGAGGAGGGTGTGTGTGTGTGTGTGTTCTGTCCTCAGGTGCACAATTGAGTTAATTATACTCCTTGATAGTTAGTAGAGCATCATAAATGCATCCATGACCCTGTTCTATTTTTTTCCCTTAATCTCTATTTTCCACTGCAGTGGATTGAATTGCCCCCCAAAGTCATTGAAGCTTAATCCCCATCGTAACTGTTGAGGGTGAGAAATCTTATTATGGTAATTAAAGGTCGGGACTCCGAGCCTTAATCAATGCCTTAATCAATGGATTAATAATTATGGTCATGGGTGTGGTTCCGAGGGCTTTAAAAAGAGAGCATGTGAAAGTCTCTCTGCTCTGCCATATTCGCCATGTGATATCCTGAATTACTATAGCTGCCACCAGGATGAGGCTCTCACCAGATGAGTTCCCTGGACTTTGAACTTCCCAGACTCCAAAACTGTAAGCAATAAATATTGTTTCTTTGTAGATTACCCAGTTCCAGGTATTTTGTTATAAGAAACAGACTAGTATACCAATATACCTACCCATTTGTTTCCTCTGAAGGCAACTACCACAATGTTTAATTTATATATCCTTTGGAAAATGTGTCAGGTTTAGTGTACATATGTGCTTGGGTACTTCAAAAAGTCCGTGGAAAAATAGAGTTTTAAAAAATAATATGAATCTTTCCATGAACTTTTAGAAACACCCTCTTATTTTTAATAAGTGAAATAACGTTTCAAATACTTGACAACCTGTGTTTTACATCCATATTACTAGGGCTAGGGCTCACAAACCCTACAAACCTGTTGTACAGACTGGGTCACAAACCCCTCACCTGCAGCTCCACGAGCTGGTAATAGGAAAAGATCGTGGGAGCTGTGGGTAAAAAATTAATAGGCTTTATTCAACAGCCACCCTAGTGACCTCCTGGGATGTCCTGAGGGTACTATGGATCAGAGCCACTAGTCCTTTATACTTAAGTCCGATAACCCAAGACACCTGGGTTCACGAACGCAATTACATTAGACAATACCCAAGAAACACCTGGGTGCACGTGCCTATTTACATCAAATGCTCGGCAAGAGTCTGGACATCTGAGGGGCCCTGACCATTTTCCTTCACTTTCCCTATAACATTTTTCTGTGTTACTGTAGGGATAGTTTGCTATCTCAGATAATTGTATATTTTCATAGTATGCCTCTACTCTATCTCCTGAGACTCCATATTCTTTTTGTTCCCCAGAAAATTGTCCCCCCTCTTAAACACACACGTTCATGATCAGGCAAAAGCCTTTTGCTTCTTTCACTTTTCTCCTTTCACATCTCCATCTTCTCGTGGAGAGTAACCTATTTCATTTTCAGCTCAGAGAAGTGTAAAGCAAGAGTTATCTAAGCATGAGTTTGATATCACCATGCCATTGGTTTACCATCCAGCTGGGACTGTGTACTACTGAAGCAATTTTCTGTTTTGTTCATAGCACAGATTTCATGGATTGACAGGAGCAATTGCCAGTGGAGGAGACAAGAGCATAAACAGATGTGCACCAGGCGCACCACAGTACACTTTCAATTTCCCGGAGACAGTATTTCCTATGGCACTGGCAGCATTTCCACCCAGCCTTGTCAGGACTGTTATTAGTGTGCTGACAGATACCTTTCTCTAAATGTACCTTCTGGGTGAAAGCTGCTATTATGTGAAACACAGGTGTGCTGGGGTTTCCTTAGGAGATTAAAAAAGACTGTGACTACAGAAAGTTAGTAAAAGATATACAAACATTTAAACTGTTTTTTCTTCTCTTCACTTAACATCTGCAATGGGATCTTCATCAGCAATGTCTTTACGAGCAAATGCAAAAAAGGCTTTCCCTTTTATTGTTGAAAATGTGTACTATACTGCATTGTTAAAATTATTCAGGTCTCCAGTTCTCTGTATGCTTGAAATGCAGAATGATGGGGGAGAAGGAAAGTATCCCTCACCGGAGGGGCCTTCTCATGATGAAACATTAATCAGGTGGATTGCATTAGCTTCCATCCTCACCCAGCCATACAAAACTCACCCATGGAATGAGGTGATGTGGTACAAAATCCCCACATTGTCCCACTTTAAGCTGTTCTTCTGGTATATCTGGCAGTCCTGTTTACATTAGCTTCCATCCTCACCCAGCCATACAAAACTCACCCATGGAATGAGGTGATGTGCTACAAAATCCCCACATTGTCCCACTTTAAGCTGTTCTTCTGGTATATCTGGCAGTCCTGTTTCCTGGCAGGGGAAAGTAGCCAATAGAGAGACTCTGTCCTATACAGTCCTTCTTGCAAGTGTCAGAATCACCGCACAGCAGGTACTTACCAATCATTTGAAAGAGAGACTTCCAAAGTTTTCAACTTGCCTGATAGCCACATTATTTGTACTTTGTTTTTCCTATTTGCCATGAGGCAAGAGTTCCAATGTATAGACAAGTAACTGTGTGAGTAGATCGCAGTTTATAAGAAGAAGTGGGAGAAGCTGCTGGTTCAGGGAAATGCGAATTTAGCTGTGGAATGTACCGACCAAGAAGGACACTAGAAGAAGCCAGCTGGTTCATCCTGCTACCACCATGTATGATCATCTTGAACTGACCATATGACTAGTCAGCCAGTGGCTGTGGCAACGTCCAGGGCAGTAGCCGCAGGGAGGTTCTGTGATGACAGAACCAGGGCTGGGCCTCAGAACCTGGGTCCAGGGCAGTTCTTGGAACTGGCTGGGAAAAGGAGCGTGAAATTCTCAGGCCTAATTTCCTACCTCCTGAGGGACAGGACTTGCAGTCCAAGGAGTCATCCGAAACATTTTTCCTGGGTAACTCCAAGTTCTGGAGCAGTGATTCTCATACATGTGTTGCCTCGGGAGTTTGTTCAAAACATGGATTCTCAGACTTTACTTTCAGAGATCCTGATTCTGGAGGTTTGGATTGAATCTGCATTTTAAAAATCTTCATATGAATCTCTTGCAGACTAGAGTCTTTCAGACTAGGTTGAATCTTGATATGATTCTCTTGCAGACTAGAGTGAGATATGCTGGTGAGAGAGGGGGAATGAGAGAGAGAGAGAGGATCCTAAATATAAAAATCATGGTTCCAAATGGAAACAGACTGAAATTCTGTGAATTATCATGTCAATCA